AACACGTACTTCTTTTCCTATTTTTTTAAAGTGAGAGCGAAATATTAGTTTTTAGTAAACTCTTCTTGAACGAGAAGGACACGTACGTTTAACGCAGATTCTTCTTTATTGACTCCGAGCATGGCCTTGCCAAGCTTGATACACACTGCCTGAGCAGCCTTGAGGTTTCTGTTGACGGTCTCAGCCGTACGACGACGGCGAAACTCTTCCAATGCAGTCGTTGCCCACGATTTGACGTCCTGTTTCTGCTGCTGGGTCGAAGTTTCGCGCTTATCGTCGACAGCGTGAGGATTTTTTATTCGTTCCAGCCACTCCTCCAGGATAGGAATTTGTCTGGTGAGGTTAACTGCTTCTGCCTTCCTTCGGTGTAGAAGCTGCGTGGAGTAACCTGGTTTGTGCTTTCGCTTTTTAGGGGGTTTACTCGATGATTTTTTTGCTCTCGGACGAGTTCTTGAAGATACTTGCGGCTTAAATGTGGTATGATTACGGCGAGTGGCTTCATTGTGATATTTATGGGATATATCGTTTTCAAGAGCACCAAAGAGTGCAACGATGTCAGACAGAGTCACGTCGCCTACGCCGTCAAGTGAGTCCAGGTCCGAGCTGTTCATTTGTGTGTGCATGCACGTCCTAGGCAAAAGCAGAACTGACATCAATTTCCTCCTTGCAGTGGTCCTTGTCCTCTGCAAATGATGATGTGTTGACCGGTGATTATGATCAGCAAAGTGACATCTTTATCTTCCTCTTGTCCTCTGCAGATGATGATGTGCTGACCGGTGATTATGATCAGCAAAATATTCGACAACAGACAATCCTCTTTGTAGTGATACCGTCGGCAAGTCTGTTTAGAGCTGTACCATTACAAGGGTACCATCCCTTCTATGGCTACATACTACGCTTGGTTACTCTACGCTCATTGGCCGAAATATAAACCGGGAGAATGAGATACCACAACACGGCTAATAAATTAAGTTTTATAACGATACACCCGGATGTCAACGCTGTCCACGGTACCCGTACGGTGATAAGCTGCGATGACTGTGGCCTCCGACGTTGGCCCGGTTGCGCGGGTTAGTCCAACGATAGGCGTAGGTCTCAGGAGAAGGATTCTGAGGCCAACGCGTTATCACTCCAGCTACAATATATTGCAGTCAAGATCACTGTGGTCATGACTGCCATGGCGCTATTGGCAAGATGCTATATGTCATCTTCGTCACGACTTCCACAGCCACCACGAGAGTGAAGGGCTGCCAAAACTGGTGAACCACCGAGATCAGCAGGTAGCAGCACACGTTGTCTAAGGGACTCACGCAGGTGTTCCGATAATAACATTGCAATAATATTATCACAGCCCTGAAAAAAAAGATATTGTTCTTCTGAAATCTTCAGCGAAAATAAATAATTCCTGCCAACATAAGCTTTCCATAAGAAAGGTTTTTAAGCTAAAACATGGAAAAAAATGGGAAAGACCATGTGAAAATAAGTTATTGAAAGTAATATCTGGCATCTCAAAATTAAATAATTTATTGTAAAATATCGTATTGAAATTCCAGTACAATGATTAATTCGGAACACGTCCATCAAATGTCGTCATCCTTACGGCGATCAAGACGGTCGCAACAAGCACCTCTGTATCTCTAGCAATGTGGTTATACTGGTAGCCTAGTTCATACGAATCGTATGATACGACAGCTCGTAGATGATTAACAAATACCGGTAAGGCTATAACGTATAACGTTATTGCTGGGTGTTCTTTGTCCATTTCCGCGCCTATGCGCTTACATTTACCAAATACAATCGAGTCACTTAGATCATAACTCATTTAGGACGAATGGATGGTTTTGTACACTTGCATTAATTAGCACTTCCGCACTGCTTTCGACCCCGCTGACTGACTCGGGTTTTGGATGTTTGTTGGTTATGGTTCAGGTACGAATCTCATTTAGGTTAGTTTTTATTGCAGCTTGTGACGTTGAGGGGCATAGTATGCGGGTCGGCAGCGACAAGCAAGCTGATGAATTTGTAGAGGCGGTATACTGCCGCCGCCACCGGCGCATGTACGACTGTCTCTAAATTGCCCAATCACAGTAGTTAATCCTTCGTAAGAAACCAGTCTTACGAATTCAGACACCGTTTCTGTTGATGATTACTGAATGGAGTACGTTACCAAAAAACTAGATATCATTTTGCGAGTGATTGAAATCGAAGCGAGATTCTTTTACGCTTCTCTCAAAATCACTATGTGCATATTACGATTTTACATGAATGCTGGTGGTTGACGACGCGGTTCAGGTTACTGGTGGCTCCCAGCGTGGCTAGCCCTCCAATCACAAGTGAGCTTCCACAAAAAGAGCCACTTACACTCGACAATTTTGCTCGTCCTTGCCAGATGCCCTCACCTACCAAGTCATCAACCCGTAGCGGGCTTAGCAACGCTCAGCGGTTGGTGATATACCGCCAAAGGCAAGAGTTTCCAAATGAAAGTCAGCGTGATATCGCTCTATGGGCTCAACACGTAATTGGTCTCCCTCTTCTTCCGTCTCAATCAGTGATCTCGAAGATTCTAAAGCAGCGCAAGGAGTTAGAAGCAGTTTCGGTGGAGGAGCTTTCGCTAAAGTCACGATCCCACGTTCACTTTCAGGCGCTCGATTCGGCGCTAGTTCGTGGTGCGAAGAAAAGGGCGTGACAGTGACGGGTGAAGCCTCGATTTTGGGAATTGAAAGCTCCCTCCCCCATTTTTTTAACGGCTGGCTGCAAAAGTCTCCCGCCTTTGTTCATTGGGAAGTCGAAAGGGCCGCGATGTTTCAGTAAGACTACAGCGGCCACATACCACTACACCAATAGCGTCAAGGTCTGGATGACTCGGGTTATTTTTCTAAATGGTTAAAGGAGTTGGACGCGAAGTTTAGGGTGCAAAACCGGAAGTGCCTGCTTATTTTGGATAGCACCACTGTCCATTTGGGATACGACGAGTCGCAGTTGATGAACACAAAAATAGTATTCTTGCCACCAAATACTACGGGCAAGCGGCAACCTCTGGACACAGGTATAATCGCTGCGTTTAAGAGACGTTACAGGCGGCTTGGACCTTGCCACGGCTGCAAAATTGTACGGTGTGAACGTGCAACCCCCTGATATGGAGCGTGTTGTGCTGGAATTCAATACCCCCATCAGCCTCTGTGAACTGCTGGAAGCACACGGGTCTTCTGGATTACCATAGTTGTGAATACGAGAGTCCTGAAGAGGTGGATGTCATCACCGATGAGCTTGACGTGATGATGTCACGCTTACACACAAAAGCTCTGACGTTCGCCGGAGAGCTGCTAACCCCCCCCCCCAGAAGAGAACGTAGTCGTAGACAAATCTATTGATGAATACTTCTGCAACGATGAGACCGAGCAAGTTGAAGCCAAACATGACGACGAGCAGAGTGCTGATAAAAGCTGCGATGCTGCAGGTAGCGAGCACCTAACGGCTGGACCCGGAAGACCTCCAAGGCCAATTTACAGTGGATGGCCACGCTCTTCTTCATGCTGATGCGATGGGTGTTCCCCCTCGAGCAATGAGCGGGCTTAGTACTCCGCAGAGCTCGTTTCGGGAAGAATTCGGACGCACGCGAGGCCGGGAGAAGCAAATGTCGCTACTGGACTTTCGTGGCACACCAACCCCGAGCTTGGGTTGATAGCGAGCTGCTCAAAAAGTGGATTGATGTGGCTATTCCATTTGTGATGCACGGTGAGCGTAAATGCTTGGTTTGGGACAGCATGGGAGCCCACATATCGAAGGCTGTGAAAGCTAAGTGCTCTTCGAAAAGTGTTCGATGTGTGTTGTGCCTGGTGGCCTCACGCCTTACTTGCAAGCTGGAGATATTGAGATCTAAATTTTAGAACGGGGGACATTCTTAGGTAGTGCCAAAGAGAGCTCGTCCAACGTCACAACCGAATTCCGAGACCCTTTCTCCCTACTGCTGACCCTGTGTGCCGCCTACCGACTCACTGGCGCAGCAAGACGCTTCACTGAGATGGAGACGGATCGAGGCTCGGCTGCAGTGGCAGAAGGAGTCTTCCTGGTGGCCGCAGCAGCTAGCAACGTGCTGCTCGACATGGCGCAGAAGCGTTGACACCATGCAGAGATGGCTGAGAGAGCCCGAGTGGCTGTACAGCAGATGCAGAGAGATAGTGACAAGAAGAAAGAGGACCAGCGTCCACCCATTTGGCTGGGCAGCGGACCGGAGCCGACGGTGCTGGTGCCCTCCAACAGCTACGTCGCGTGTTATCGAGACAGTCAGTGGCAGCGGCTACCTATGAATTTGCTGGTAGAAGGAGACGTCGTAGGCTTGATGAGTGGAGGTATCGCCCCGGGAGAAGTGCGACCAGTGGAAGGGGATGGGAGCGAGTCTTTCCCAGCTGCCGTCCTGTACGAGGAGACACGCGAACGACACGACGAGATGCACAGCGACGTTTGATCCTCCCATGCTGCTGGATTTGTGCGGCGCGATGCGAATTTTTGAGAAGCTGGAGACGCCTTGTTCCGGATACACAGACCCGTGACGCCGACGCAGAAGCTTCAGGCACAAGCGAGACAGCTGGCCATTTCTATTTGCACCTTGTATTCCGTATTGGTGCTCGTGGCGATCGGACTCTGTTGGGATCTGGCTGAGCTTTGCGTCGCTGAACACGCCACTGGTCTTGAATGTCGCGGAAGCCGCGGCTACTGCATCCATCTTCGGCTCATTCGATGACATCTTGGCACCGAAAGAAAGCACAAGCCACGAGCAGGAGCAGGATGTGGGTGATGGGTCTAATGAGGAAGAAACACCTGAGAAAGTCTCCACCAAAAGCGAATACACAAAGACGTCCAATAAATACCCACGCCAAGACGAGCGTCTATCTGGTATCGATAGTGCGATGGCGTCGATCTTGAAAGCCACAGCGTTTGCGCCGCCAGATATCTTCGACGTTGAAGACCGTGAAAAGCTGGCCTCCCCAGACTCCGTGAACATGTCGCTAGACCAAGAATCGATCTCTGGAGTACGAGCAGCCAAGTCCGCTGGGGCTCCTCCAAGCGGCCAAATCACTCCACCTTCGAAAAGACTTAGAAACTTCACAACTAGCGACCTAGAGTCGTCTGTGGGGCTGCATCCATCCGAAACAAGCGCTGTTGAGAAGGATTCTATGCTCTGGCGTTGGCAGGATGACCAGATCTTCTTGGGAATGGTTGCGACTGGCGTCCAACCGAAGCAGCACACGCCTGACGTTATCGAAGACCTGAACGCGTGTGGGGTTCGCTTCGTGTACTTCTCGCCGCGTAACATGCGCAGGAACTACTCGCCGAGAAAATGGGAATCGAGACGAACTGGAATTGGGCAATCTTGCTGCGTCCGCTGGAAAGTGACGGCCCAGACCCTCATCGCATGACAGCGAACTACTCGGATTGGGACGTGAAGGCTCGACTACCGCACGGAGTTGAGGCGATCAAGCGACATCTGGCTGAGGTGGATAACGTCCCGTTGCCGGTGTCGCCTTACACGGACAGCACGCCGGACACGATCAGCGAGATGATCTCGATCTTTCAGGAGAATCACGAGGTTGTCATGGGCGTTGGCTCGTCACTAAAGGAAAGCAACGCGCCATTGTTCTCGAAGGCGGATTTGGCAGTAGCTTTGCAGGGTGGTGTCCACGCTTTCTTCGACGAGCCGATTCCGCACGGGAAGGAGCTTCCTGTGCTTTCTGACGAGGATGTCCAACTCAGTCACATTCTCAACACCCTGGCGTGTGTTTTTCGTCTCAAGAGTGCTCCGGATGACGCTAGCAGCCAAGACAAGGCACGCTCTGAGGCCACTGACGGCAAGGAAAAGGATAATGCAACTACGGATGGGACTGCGAGTGTGGCTCATCTAATTGAGATTATCCGACTGGGACGACGAATGCTCTCCAGCTTCCATCAGGTGAAAACGTTCATGTTCGTCTCGCAGCTTTTCATCGCCACGATCATCCTTGCGTCCTACTCAATTCCGTTCCTGCACGTGCCGCAGCTTTCGTGCGCCTCCGTCTTCTGGCTGCTGTGGATTTTTGGTGCCTGCCCTCGGTCTGTCCATGCTTGCGTCTGCAAGCGAGAAATGCATCATAAAGAAGACTCCACGCAAGAACGAAGAGTTTGATACTGAAGAGGATCTGCCGCGGCTAGTCGCTTATTTTGTCATGTGCCTTCCGTGTTGCTATCTATCGCCGTGTTCGAGTGCTTGCTGGGCTTTTCTCTGCAAGCATTGAACGTTGCTGATCCGAGCGCCTTTGGAGAACAGTTTTGTGAGTATCGATGGACGGATTTCGTACTACATGTAGACAGCGAGTTAGTGACGATGATGCCGAGACCAGCTGTCGTCTCGGCTGCGGTGGATCGCGCTGAAGCTGGGACGCTGCTGCTGATTGGCGTCTGCATGTTGACCTCGTCTTGTGGATATCTGTATCGATGCGAGAGTATGTTTGAGCTTTCTCCCTTCCGAAACGTCATGTGAGTGGTGACAGCATGTCTTTTTTCTGCTGTGCTTCCAGGTTGCTCTGAGTATGCTCCGTGCGGGGATCGTTGGTGCTGATGGAGTCACTCTGTGGCATTTTGTGAGCCAGTCGGTGGCTTGCACTTTCTGGGCTTACAGTAAAAAAAAAAAAAGCTGAAAAGGCATGTAACGTTGGGTGTGTGGCCGCTGGCAATCTTAGGCGTTGATGAAGCAGTCAAGACACATGACAGACGACACCTTGTGCGCTACAATAAGTTCCTCCGGATGCAGTTCGACACACGCCTGGGAATGTGGAGTCCCAAGTAAAGCGACTGCAACGTTATGCTGGGCGATTGGATACGTTTGCGTCAGTGTTTCTGCCATGTTAGTTCTCATTGACCGCAGCCAAGCCACTTCTCGCGTTCTGTCGTATAGGGGCGGACAAGTTGCTGAAAACGCTTTAAACACTGGCTGTGTGGAGATACTTCTCGAGAATGGAGCTGCATCGAGACAAGTTGCTGCTGGCATGTCCGCAATAGGGCCAGTCATGCAGCTCAAGATCTTCAAACGACAAACTCCGTTGACTCCATTTAAATAGGTCTGGGCTGATGACGAGCAAATTCAGCATGGTGACGTTGTGTCGTCCTATTTGGCATCCTCTCGAGCTGCGGCGTGATGGCGATGGCCAGGCGCTTTAAACTCGAAAACTCGATCAAGTGACGGTAACTCGCTTAGCCTCTAAAGGTCAGCCACGAGAAAGCCACACACCTTGATTGAACCAAAATCGAGATTAAAACCAAACGTGTTGTTGCTAAAGTACTACAGTAGCGTTAAAGCGTGAAGTAGTTCCTTTTAATGAACACCCACAGAATCCGGCGTCTTACTTTGTAAATATTTTCTCTTTCCAACCTAAGCATTCTCTGGGCGTATAATCGAGTTTGCTTCACTTGAGCTCGTCCAGTCCGGTCTGCAGCGCCCCCTTTAGCATCGCGAGGGTCTCGACCTTGGCTGCAGTCTGTCCGCTCTCCTCTTGACACTTGTCCAGCTGATTCTTTGTGAAGAACTCGGGGTTGGAGCCGTCTTCCATCATCTTCAGCACCTGCAAGGGGATATCAGCACTGTACTCGGCCGCCGCTTTGTCTGCCTGTTGCAGCAGCTCCACATATCGCTGGGCCTTGTCGCTGAGGAAGCCCAACTGGTCTGGCCGGAAGTCCGCTACGCCGTCCGCCAGCTGATCTAACGTCCGCACGACGTCCACCAACGTCTCGAGCAGTTTGGGTGGCAAATGCTTCACCACGTCGTCTCGGGGTAATGCTGGGCCTGCTCCGAAGGCTCCTCCGACTGCTCCTCGACCCATAGGCACGAGCTGAGGCTTGGCGCCTCGACTGCTGTTAGTGGAGGAGCGTCCACCGGTGGTGGACGGCGTCTTTGGCCGCGGAGGGGACCCACTAGGCGTGAACGGGGCCAAATACGGACTTGCTCCGACCTGGGCACGACGCTCCTGCAGCTCTGAGGCGCCGGACGACGACACGGACGGCGTCGGCTGTAGACCGGAAGACGACGAAGAGGTCAGCCCTTCGGCACGGCCAGAGGGCGGCAGGTCTGCAAGAAACTGGTCCGGCTCGGTCTCCAGATCCTCCTCCTCAAGTGCCTTCGCCGCGTCCATCGTGAAAGCTGCCGGTGTATACAGAGTGTATAGTGGTGCAAGAAAAATGACAATTACGCAATCTTGCATTATTTTTAATGAGAAATACGTTTAATGCTTAAAACTGAAGAAGTTCTCTCTTTTAACAGAGAACTTCTTCAGTTTTAAGCATTAGGTAGCTTGTAAGGGACCTCAAGAGACAGAGGAGACACCCCGCTTTCGTTTAGAGTACTTAGGTTCGTAAGTATCATTTTGTCTTGCGTCAGGGACCGAGATAGATCGGAGGTTTAAGCTCTGCCGATCTTATATCCTCACTCATTGACATGTAAAGCATGGCTTTTAGTTTCTCCGAAGTAGAAAGCAAGCTCGTGCATTGTCATTCGGACGGACTCCGAACTGAATTACTTCTAACGACCCTCATGGTTGAATCTGCAAGCTCCAAACTATTTTTCGAACAGACACGTCGCTCCGAACGAAGGTTTCAGCGTGTGTCATCGATGAGGTAGTTTAGCAGCTTGGGAGCACGACGGGTTATCATCTCCACGAATTGTTTCTTGATGATGTCTTCAGTGTTAAAGTACTCAGCTCTATAATTTGGAATGAGTCGCAGGAGAGTGCGCAAAGCGAAACTAGAACTATCGAAGCTTAAATTGAAACTCGACATCGACTTGAAGTCGAAAGACAATGATTTCACGGACGCGTCCTTGAACCTCGTCAGCACCTCCTTCGTAGTGATCGCATAGTCTTTTTTTGTAGTCGCGGTTTCCAAGTCAGTCTGAAGATCCGACTGAGCTAGATACGTCCGACGCGCACGCGTACATACTTCGATAGAAATCGTTGTTTGCTTCAGCACAAACTGCAAGTGGGCTGTGACAGGCTTGTCCATCGCTTCAACCACGCCATGTCGACAATAACCTCGCCATTCGAGGAAGCTTCAATTAAAACGGAGTTCGGCGAAATCGCATGGATATGTTGCGGGGTGAAACTTGTAAGACCGGTGATATTAAGCGATTCAATGGTGGTCGAGAACGTCAGCATCCTCAGCCTAAAGTTATAGTTGAACCGGAGCGGGATTTTGCTTCGAATAAAAGGGTCGTGATTTCCAAGATTAGAGCCCAGAAGTCTATCCGTTTTGGCTGTCTTGATTCCAGCATTTAAGTCAGAAAACGCTGTCTTCTCGGCAGTGAAGTCTATCGGCACGCAGCTGTCGTCTGCAGCTATATTAGAGCCACATTGGGTAGTAAGTGCGACCGCTGCAGCAAAAATGATCAACTTGATCATGAAGTTCGCAACCAAAAAGAAGGCAAAATGAAGACTGGTGAACGAAGCTGAGTCGCACGGTAGCTCGTCAACCCACGCACGAAGCTCAATATATCCAAATGATCATCAACAGATCCCGAGTTATTCACCCTTTAGCTACTGGGCGGATTTGCCCTCTCTAGATAAAATTGCTAAGCCGCAATTGGGTATAATAGACTCAAATGATTTGCAAAAGTTGATGTTTTAATAAAATGGTAGGTGTCCACTTGGACCTCTATTTATACCTCAACAAATGCTAAATTAGGAGCGAAACATATGACGGTTTGTACTGATTTCTGGAAGAGGTCCCGTTAGCGTAGCACATTTTGCGCGGTGGGTGGGTGGGGGTGGGGTGGGAGAGTATTTCATGTTTGACTGAAATAAATTGTCATTGATTTAATAGCCTGAAACGCTTCGCTGTGTGAGTAAACTACTTAGTTTTAGTATTTGCCAAAATGACCAATCTTGCATTAATTCAAACAATCGTACAGCAGGAGCAACCCGACGACCGATTCACCGGCTAGTACCGCAGCGAGAGATTCGTCTACAGTGCCGATGACACTGTTCATGCCCCTCGCAGCACCTTAACTTAAGAGCACCTCGGATGCAGATCTCGTCCAGTGACGCAAGCTACGCAGTGAGTACGGGGCCAAAGTAGCCATGCGCTGCAAGAACGACCCGACCAAGATGGCCGAAGTTCATGTCAGTGTAACGTGTCTTCGGCTGCCCTGCACGCCGGGGTTGGTCGCCCAGCGCTGATTACGTCCAAAGTCCGGATGGCCGACGGAGTCTATTCGTGCTCCGCGCCGGTGTCTGCCTCTTAGACAGGAACACCTACTTTATTTCGTTTCAGCTACTCAATCAAATGCAATCGTCCTACCTAATGCCCTACGACTCAGTCTGTTGACGCCGTTGCGCCCGAATGACCAGTTGTCCTGCTACTAGACACTCAAGCTCGGCGCACCCTCGAGGTACCGCTATATGCGCCGTTCACAGGGGAGCCACAGCTCCTTTTGCCGCTCACTCACCAAACTCTGTTGCCGCGGTACACCAAGTCCGTCCGTTCGCTCGTCTGGTCCAACTCGCGCTCGACGCTCGGGTCAAGTCGCTCGCTGGCGTTCGTTTCGTCTGGTCCAACTCACACCCGGCTCACGAGCCAAGTCGCTCGCTGGCGTTCGTCTGGTCCAATGCGCGCTTGACTCACGGGTCAAGTCACTCACTGGCGTTTGTATCTCGTCCGGTCGGCTACTGGGCACTCGGTCCCCCGTCGCCGCAACTGTTTCTCGTTCCGCGCTCTTCACCGCCGAATTCGTCCTCTGCTCTACGCCGCAGATTTCGTACTGTCTTCTCCGCACCATTTTCCGTTCTATGTCTTCCGCTGGCCGTACACCATTGTGTCGACCCAAAAGATCCCGGGTCTGGCCCGCGGTACTTCAACCAGCTGTCGTCGTTCTCTTCATTGTTCGTCCTACAGTGATCCGGCAGCTACCTGCCTTCGCGCACGCCACTCCGTTCTTCGTCACTCTGTTGTCGTGCCGCACCCGTACGTGATCGCGTCTCCTTACATCAGTGTTAAGGAGTAGTTGGACAAGCGACTTCTAACTGCATGGTGGGACGTCGACGTTGCTAACGTCACCGACGACTTCATCCTGGCGAAGATCGACGAGACCATTGCGTCAGTAGAAAAACAACGCTGTTCCGTACGTCGCCGCCCTTTTTAAAAGAAAATGTCGTCATCGACATAAAGGAAAGTGACGTGAAGGAGAGAATGATGCAAGTTTTCGTCCGAAGTCGTGAATTCATCGCTGAACAAGGTTGGTAATCCTTTTTACTGGAAATGAGGGTGAGAGGCTTAAATACAAGCTATTGATTGAAGCACTTGAGCCTCGCAGCCTTTGTGAAGAGGTGACAGCCGTCGTTAAGTACCAAGCTCGGACAGCGAAAGAAGATGAGAAGGAGCTGTTCAAGCTGATACTTGAAAAGGCATTTGAACAGGACCGTGACTTCCAGCGCCGCAAGCGTTCACGTCGCCGAGACCCAAGTGAGACGAAGCGCTAGGAGAGACAGACGAAGAGCAATACCAACCAGCCTCCTGCTAAGTACCCTAAGGTCGAGCATGGCGGTAAATTAATTAAAAAAGACATCAGTACGAGCAACAAGCAGGGCCAAAAAAGCGTGCTCTGAAAAAAGATGCGGTTGTCTTAAGTATAAAGGCGATCATTGGCCTGTTCGCTGCCCGATTGCGAGCAGTGATGAGAAGAAAGAGCTTTTTCGCAAGATGCATGAGCGCTGCGATAGCAAACGTGCTAATAACCATGCGTGAAGATTAAAGCGCACAGATATTGGCATCAATATTGATCGGTAGTTGGAGCAGTTGGCTGAGAAGACTTCAGCGGATGATAACGACCCAATACCAGTTGAGGACGCTTTCGGAGCGGGTTGTACACCTGATGAGGAGGTTCGCCAAGCTGTTGAAGGCATGATCGTGACTGCGATTGAGAACGAATTTCCAGAAGACAAAGAGGACAAACTACGAACTATTGTGTATATGTACGATGTATGGAGAATCCGACATGGCCCAGACCCATCTGCGAAGGTCCTGCTCCATTGGAAATTCGACTGACGAAGGGTGCTACGCCCATTTCGGTGTAAGCCGAGAGTGTACCCGCCTCACATACGGAAATTGCTGCAGGCGTTTAACGATGAGTTGGTCCGTCTCGGATGTGTATTCGAGAACGGCTTAACTCGGTGGGCGTGCCCTGCTCTACCGATCAAGAAGCCAGGTAAGAACGAGTTTCGCCAGACGAGTGACTATCGACCCGTTAATGCGGAAACGGAGCCGATTGCGGGTGTCATGCCAATTCTTAAGTGATAACTGAGCGCGTGCGTGGAATGTCTTTCTTTAGCCTTTACGACTCATCAAAGGCTTTTGGCAGTTGCCTCTCGCCAAAGCAAGCCAAGAGATCCTGAGCTACATGACGGATGCCAAGGTCTACACACCCACGCGCGTTCCGCAAGGTTGTAGTGACGCAGCCCTGCATTTGCAGAGGACAATGGAGCACTGTTTCGCTGAACTGCTTTACAAGCGCTTGCTTGCATGGATTGACGATCTATTACTGTATGCAGAGGACGTATATACGTATTTGGAGAAACTTGACGAACTGTTCTCGCCGGTGAATGAGCTCGGACTTAAGCTGAGCGCAGCCAAGTCCTCTCTTTTCCAGCGTTCTGTCAAGTGGTGCGGCAAGATTATTGACGGCGAAGGCGTTCGCCATGACCTTGAGCGAATCGCGGCATTGCCATGTCATTACCGTCTACTAAGGGATATTTGGAGCAGCTTATGTGCGCGTGCAATTGGATGCGCGACAGTCTCGTAGACTATGCAGGCAATGTGAAAGCTTTGTAGACGCGCCTTGACCTGACTCTGGGAAATGGAAAACGAACTAAGCGGGTTTCAGCTCGATTACCAGTCAGTTTTACTAAGAAACAAACGACTGCTTTCGATAAAGTCACAGCGTGCCTCGCCGATGCTGCAATGTTGGCGCATCCAGGTCCAGACGGAGTACTTTCAGTGTTCACCGATACTTCCGACGAAGCGTGGAGTGTGATAGTGACCGACGTGGAGACATGAAAAAGAGATCAACCTGTTCATAAGCAAAATCATCGTCCTCGTCTCAGTCTGAGTGGTACATTTACAGGATCGCAAGCTAACAGAAGCGTAATTGAGAAGGAGGCTTTTGCCATTGTGGCAGCATGCGACAAGCTGCCAAACCCCCTTCTCCGCCCGCGTGATTTTTGACTATATTGTGACCACAAAAATCTTATTAACGTGTTCGCTCCGAGCGACAATGTGAAGAAACATATCTGTAGCAAATTACTGAGGTGGGCAATGCGTCTTGATGAATTTCGATACAACATCTTCCACATCGCAGGCGAGGACAGCGTATGGGCTGATATAGTAACTCGGTGGGCTCGACCACCAAGCTCCTTAGTATACGCAACGGTCAAACCCGTGTACAGCAGCAACATGATCGTCTATCACTACGGCCACTCGACGCCGAAGGCTTTGTATGGCCTGACCTAGATTTCAGTTCAGATGCCCAGCGCAAACTCGGGGACAAGTCTGAGATGCAGCGCATGCAGAAAGGTGACGCCGGGATTCGACGCAGGACCAATCGACTGTACATTCTAGCGAAAATAACAAATCTGCTCCGCCGCTTGTGCATTATCGCACACTGCGGCCCTCAAGGACATCGAGGCCGGGATGCTATGCTGGCACACCTAGGCCGCATTATTTACGTGCCTTCCCTTCGACTATGCGTGGACAGGTTTCTGGCAAGCTGCCTCGTGTGCCATCATGTAAAAGGGGGAAGGTGGTGCCAAGGCCCTGAAGTGAAACCTACCGATGCAGTGAGCGAAATCAAGAGCTACACTGGGCTTTTCTCTACGTAGGTGAAAACCTATGGTGACCTGCAGTATCTACAGATGCTCAAAGACGATGCTGCGAGCTTGTAAATTGTGAGACCTCAACAAGTGTAGTGGCGACTGATGCCATCATGGATTGGCACAGCAGATTTGGAGTGCCTAAAAACTGGATTAGTGACCATGGGACTCACTTCAAGAATAAAGTGATCGACGAGCTGTGCAATAGGTTGAAGTGCAAGCAAATCTTTTCGCCGACCTACAGTCCATGAATTAACGGATGTGTGGAACGGGTAAGTTTTGCGGGTACTTATCCTAGACTACAACCTCAACTACAGGGTCTGGCCAAGGCTAATTCCTATTGTACAGGCAAATCTCAACCACACTGCCGTACCGTCGTTGGCAGGCAAGACACCGGGTGAGCCGTTCGCCGGACTGGATCCCCCTTCGCCTCTGAAGGCTGTATACCTGGGACCAAATGTGACTCCCAGTGTACAACCGACTCGAACCTCGGCCGAGATCGAGTCAAGTCTGGCTCAACTACGAGCTAGTGTGAGAGACATGCACAGGGAAGTTGCAGATGCCCGCCTCAAGCAGACACTACTGAACAAGAAAATGCACGAAATGATAACGTGGTCAACTTCAATGTGGGTGATTATGTACTGCGATCACGTGTGGCTGCGAAAGGACAGAGCAAGCTACTCGTCACATGGATTGGACCCTACGCTGTCACCGAAGCACAACAGCAGAACGTCTTCAAGGTGAAGCACCTCGTTACTGCCGTAGAGTTTGACATGCATGTCTCGAGACTCAAATTTTTCGCTGACATGGACCTCGAGGTGACTGAGGAGCTCCTGGAGCACGTGGCTGCTCAGGGTATCATCTTTCGCGTGCACGAGCTACTTCGGCATCGGTGGAACAACACGAGCCGAGCCTACGAGATCCTTGTAGGGCGGCATGGGTTGAAGGCAATAGAGGACTCATGGGAGCCTCTAG